GACTTCTTTAAAACACAAGTAAGCAAAGCCCCACAGCCGTCACCAGATTTGGAAAAAAGTCAAAATGATAAACAGGAAAAGGTGGTACAGCCAGAACAGAAGGAAACCTCCAGCTTCTCATCATTATTTGGATCCCTTGGAGATCTCTTCAAAGCAGAGCCTGTGTCTACTCAACCAACCTCAAGTACTCTTCCAAAAACCAGTAGCAGAACTGTGGCTGAGTTGAGACAACAGAAGGAGAAGTCTGGGAGTCTTCAGAGTGCCAGCATGCCATGTCTGTCGTCTACCCCGAAGGAAGGGGTGAGAACAGAGGGCATGGACAGGCAGGTTTCTCCTAGCCCTGCAGTGCAAATGGAGCAAAGAAGCAGAAAAGCTGAGAAGGAGTCTTCTGAGAGTAAAAAACTGCTTCCTGGGAACATTTCACAGAAGGCCGTGGGTGTACACCCCAAAATTGGCCAGCTGAGTCAGTCAGCTGTGCAGCAAAGCAGTGTACCCACGGTGACACCAAAGCAACAGGGAGGAGATCGTTCAGGAGGCCCAGTTAGTCAGGCAAAACCAAAGCCAGATCAGGCACCTAAAGAGTCAGGCTTCAGTTTGCCATTCAGCTTTTCTGATATCACTGCTTCAAAATCACAGTCAGCACAGCCAGCCAGTAGGAGCATATTCTCCTTCTTTACGGGATCAGACGAAGCAAAGCCTTCACCACCTGCTCCTGCTAGTGGGAAGCAGCAGGAAACAGAGGGGCTGTTTCATCTGCCCTCCTTCTTCTCCAGCAATCCAACTGCTGAGAAGAGCATACCTCAGAGAAGTACTAGCTTTAGCTTCTTCAATTTGACATCCTTTTTGGATGAAAAACCACAAGCTGCTCCAAGACAGGAGAATAATACAAAACCAGCTAAGCCAGTGAACTCCAAGCCATATGTGAAGCAAAATATTGCCACCGACTCTGGTGTCAAAATTAGCAGTTCTGCCAGGCAACAGCATGCAGACAATAAAGAAGAAGTTGATATTATTGCAGCAGTGACTGGCAAACAAACAGTCCCAGAAGTGATCCAAGAAAATAAATCAGAAATGCTGGCAGTGGAAAATGTAGAAAGTGTTGCTGAGGTAGCTGAAGAGAGTGACTTAGAGAAGCTTCCACAGACCGATGACACTGCAGTAACAAATTTGGCTGCCTCTAGTCCTTGCCTTCAGACTCCCAGTGCGCAGGAGGGCTCTCAGGGCCAACAGGCTATTGCCTTAGAAGAAGATGCTTTGGGCAGCACCGGGAAAATGGGCGGTGATGCATTTCCTATTGATAAAGAAGAGCCCAATTCTTCAAAAGAACAAGTTACTGAAAAGGTGGATTATAGCACAGCCTCAGGTGATAAAATAGATTCCCAGAGTCTAAATGACTTAAATAATGTGAGTGATGTAAAAAATGAAGTGGTGTCTCAAGAAGTATGTGTACAGCATGAGTTACCAGAACCTAAATTACCTGAACAAACTCTTGGTGAAGGGTTACAACAAGCACAAGAGCCACCATCTCCTTCTAAAATGCCAGAGGCGTCTAATTTGCAAGACAAACCTAAGGAATCTGAGAATGATAAATCAGTACTGGATTCTTCAGTTGAAATGTTTTCAAGTTTCATGACAAAAATGAAACCGCCCAAAACTTTATCTGGTTTCTTTTCCCAGCCTCAAGCTACTGCACCTCCCACTGCACAGAAGAAAAGCTCCTCTTTCTTTGGTTTCTCATCCCTCCCAAGTGGCCCAGCACCAGCTTTCACAAATGATCTCTTTGGCATCTTCAAAGGTCCAAAAGAATCTCCAAAAGAAATGCCTCCAAAATCCGCCCCTAAACCTCAAAGCAGTAGTATGAAAGATGTCACTGCTTCTGTTCCAGCAAAAGACTCCAGAGAGACAGAAAACACAGCTGCAGCCAGAGAGTCTAAAAGAAATGTCACGAGCTCTCTGAAGGAGGATATATTACCTGTTTCAACAGAAGAGAACTCCACAAAAGAGTCTCCTGTGAAAACAGAAACTGAAGAAAACAGGAACTCTGAAACCTGTAAAGAGGAACCTTTGACGATCACTCCAGAAACAGCAGTCTCTAGTGAAAATCAATGCCTTGAGGTTCTGCAATTGGACAATGATGCACAGCCCTCTGAGATGGTAGATACTAAGCCATGCCAGTCTGATTTTAGTAATGCCATTGATACAGTGCAGGCTGAGGCCGCTGACCAGACTGATGGAGATATATGCCAGCTAGATGTGGGGTCTTCACATGTGTCCGAGGAACAAGCTGCTCCTACAAATAAGGCAGCTATTGGCGTCCTTCAGGCTGGCTCTGCTGAGGAGCTTGCAGTGGAAATGGAAGCCCCAGCTAATGGGGCAGACACAAACCTTTCCCAATTGGATGAGAGTGCTACTCTTGAGTCGGAGCCTGCTGTTACAGGGGATCAGACCAATGCTGGCATTGATCAGCAGGACATGATCAGTAGTAATGGTAGAGAATCCCCACGTCCAGCTGATGAGCCCAGTGTTCATGTGCTCCAGCTGAATGAAGAGAAGGCAAGTGAGGTAGAACAGCAACCTGCTGAATGCTAAACGTTCAGCAGCTGATGAGGTGCCTGTAAAAGGCACTGCTTCCAAATGTGACTCGAAGAAACCTAATAGTGTTCCTCCAGATGCAAACAGTAGTAAACCGGTCTTTGAAATACCAAGCATGCCCAGTTTGCCAAAATTCAGCTTTATGTCATCTGCTGATAGTGGAAAGCCATTTGGGTCATTCTTCTCTCAGCAGCCACCTTCAGTTATTAAAGCAGGGGCAGATCAGGGCCTCATGTCCAGCTTTAAGAAACTTTCTTCTACTCTTTTTGAAGGAGGTAGTGAAGAAAAGGTGAGTAAACCAGAGAGTGCCCAAGGAGCAGTATTTGGGAAAAAGCTAGATTTCTCCTTTCCCTGGCAAAAAGACAACAGGGAGACCTCTGCCAAAAGGGAACCACATATACCACCACAGGCTTTGTCAAAACCAGATGACAAGGTGTTAGGAACAGTCAGTTCAGATGAAAACTCAAAATCTGCAGTCTCAGATCAACTGACTGATGCAAATATAGAAGTAAACGTGTCTTCAAATCAGCCTGACACTGTAGACAATGAACTTTCTGAAGAACCATCTGGTGCAAGCGCTGTTGATGATACATCCAACAAAGAGCTGAGGGAGAAGATTGATAAAGACTCCGAAGACCAGCAGAATGTGATTTCGGGTGAACTGCAGAAAGAAGATCAAGCAGAAGAGCATGCTCCAGCTGAGCCTGAACTGAAAGAAACTGAGCTTAATTCTGCTCCTGAGGGAGCAATGCGTCATCCTGTCACACAGGCTGCAGATCTGAATAGTGTGGAACAACTGAATGAGAAAAGGCTAGTTAAAAATGAGGCATAATAAATGGTTCTGAGTTTTTGACCATTTATAATGCAATACTGCAGCAGTAGATACTTACCTTGGTGTCTGATGTTTGTAGCCAGTCCCATCCCCTATTTGTTGTCAAGTGTTTGTAGTATTGCTGATAGCTGTCACAGAGGATGTGGCGAACTGCAGTCAGTAGTTACATGTAGGCCCTTAGACCATTTTCTCATCTCTTTCCACTCCTTTTTTCTGTAAATGTGATTGGATTTCTCATGTTCTCACACTATGTGTGAGAATGCTTTTCTCATGCTGAATGAGATGCTTCTAATGCTAATTTCATTAGCCTTTCAGAAGTTACATTCCTTGTGTGTTAATTCTGCTTTATACAATCACTTTGCTTTCTTGTTTACTGATAATTATATGGTATTTGTGAAGAAAAAAGTAACAGTATGTAGAATGTATTGGACAGAATGAGGATTTTGTTTTCAAAATGTAAGGTAAAGGCTTTTAATTTTAGAGAGAAATTAGACTTATTGCTGATATATTATGCAACTAATTAGGTTCATTTCACATTACCAAAGATCTTAAAACATTTTCAGAGATATCAGTGAAGGTGTTCTAATACTTGCTCTTCCTAAAATCTGTGCAAAGGTTTTTTCATGCAGAAAGGAAAGCCACAAAAGGAAGTTACTAGTGTTCCATCAGCCTGTATTCAGTCCTTTGTATGTGTTAAGTTACAATTGCCCTCAAAAATCAAAACAGTGATTTGCTAAACATATCTCTGCATGATACAAGAAGTGAAATGTACCTGTGGTCATACAATTGCAACACTGCACTCCCAAAACTTCCCATCTCGCTGGAAATTCTCCTAAGTGTGTAAGTGAGAGAAACATTAGTGCTGCTTAATTCTTTGCTGTAGTTTTCCTGACTGCATGAGAAATTTTGATCCACTGTATTTTGTCTGAGGATTCTAGGAATTCAGTCCTGGAAGTGGTGTCTTGAAACACAGGGGTCATGTCCCTGTGGTGAATTCTTCAAAAAGCTCCACTGGATCGGGACACATGGCTTCCTACATTGCTCTACTTTTCTAAAAGGTTTTAAGTTGATAGTCTTGACAACCTTGATTTTGACTGCAATGTATTTTATCATAAACATATATATAAAAATAAAGTTAACTGTACTTCTCAACAATAGTCAGCTTAAATGGTCAGGGTAAAGAACTTAGCTATAGTGTATCTGCAGAAGACAGAAACACTTCCACTCTGAATTGCTATGTTTCCATTCTTATTCCTGTCTGGTTATTAGAATATCTTCACTGGCAGTTTCTAGCTTATGAAAAGTGAAGCAGTAGTCAGTTAATGCAAGAAAGACCACTGGCATATATGAGGTATACACTGGTACGCTGTGTATGAAGTATTTCTACTGCCTACCAAAGTTTTGAGGTTCAGAAGTCTAGATCTAGTTCAGAGAGCACAATGGATAAATCTGACTTTATAACACATCTTTTCAGTAATATTTAGTGTTCCACTCCATTTGTTGGATGTGCAGATTACTTTGTGTTTCTCCAAGCCACTGTTTTCTTTTTCTGATGCTTTTTCTTATTCTCTCATAGTCCTGCTGGCAGTAGTAGATATGGCTCCTCTTGTAATGTCAGCCAGGGAAGCTCTCACCTCAGTGAGCTGGACCATTCCCATGAAAGTGCCCATGGCTCTGAGCAAGAAGATGATCACCAGGAAAGAGTCTCAAATCATTCCTACCACAGTTCAGGCAGCTACCAGAAGGATAGTCAGGCGTGGCTCAGGGAGCAAGAGGATCCTCATGGTAAAGGAGAGGAGGAGAAGATCTGTGAGACAGAGGAGAAACGTGCAGACCGTTCTGTAGCTCTGGAACTTGAGAAGCCCAAGGATGTTGATGAAGGAGCCCAAGTGAGGTAAGTGAAACTGTATTAATAAGTTCTTTTCAACTAATTCAAAGAGGATTCCTCTCTCTGCAATTTTCTGGGGAAGTTATGTACTTACAGCCTTCTCCAACAACTAACATGATGTTGGTGATCTGTGATCTGTTCCTGCATCTTTATGTGCAGGTACAGTCATTTAAGAGACATTGGCTAAAAGCAGTCGTGGTTAGAGCTGCACTAGTTACTTTCTTATATAGTAGGCTACCAGAATTGGAGTTAATGTTTATATAGTTGAAGGTTGTAGGATTACATTATGAATAGACATGTTCTTTTGACTCACTGTGGCAGCTTTCCTTGTCCTTGCACTTGGGCTTTCCAAGCTATCAGCAGTATTGAAAACAGCCTTCAGAAGTATTTTTTTGTGTTGTAATGAGCTGGTTTTTTACAGGAATTTTGAATTTTGCTACTTAACTATGGGAGTGACTTTTTTTCCCTTGAGGTAAACAAGTTATTGCAGCCTCTAGAGTGAAGATGGGTATACTTATATAGGTATGATGTTTTTATTTGGTTCAGCTTGTCTCTACCCTTTGGAGGGTACATCTGATGTCACTGTGCTTATATGAGAGAATTAACCATAGCAGTTCATGTGTAGGCAACCTTTTCACTTAAAATGAAAAAAGGGAAACAAGACTAGCAAAAGTGTTGAACTGTTTTAAACCCTGTCTCACTTTTCTCCTTACAGAGCAGCAGTAGTCTGGTCTCAGAGCGGTTGGCCTATATTTGTTCACAGGGAAGGTTATTCACATAGTCTGTTTCAGGCTAATTTAGGCATCTAACTTGGGTACTCCTGCATCATTGGCTCCCTTTCTCTCCACTCTCTGGCAGTGCTTTTCTGCCTCCATGGAATATGCATGGAACTGAGCTCTGAATGTTGAACTTAAGATTTGCCACTGAGCTAGATGTGTAGCATGGATGCATGTTGCTCTCAGCTATGTTTTTTTTTCATACTGTTACCAGGGCTGACTGCTTTGCAGACAGAGAAAGATCTTTTTTTCAGTGATTTACATCTCAGCAACATATATAAGGAAAGCAATCAAAAGCCCAATGTATGATGAAGGTATGGAGTATAAAATGTGCTGTGGGGCAGTAAGTGGAGCACTGCTGCCAAATACACATGCCCCTTGAAATGCTGTAGGAAAGGGTGGAGAGAGAAAGGGGCAGTGAATGAGAAAAACCACAGCTGAGTCCTATGGCCAGTGTTTCCATTGAGACAGGCCTGTAAATTTGTAGCAGTAGAGATCAGCAGCAAGAGGCAGTGTTTAGAAGGGACCTACAACAGGCATGGGATGTAAAATCTGCCTCTTAGTGTGTGCAGTTGTGATACCTGTGTGTTGAACTAGCTTGATCAGGTATCTTAGACTGCTTTCCTCATGATGATGACCAAAGTCATCTCACTTCTGGCGCTGAATTGTAGCCTAGCTTATATCTTTCAGCTCATCAGTTTCCAAGATGGTTGCTGTCTATAAGAAAACCCTTTGTTTTATCCTCTCAATTCCCAGAATATGTGCAGGGCTGTGTTGACTGGAGCCTGTTGGTTACTTCACCTTCCAGAGCTGAACCTGTGATTGCACTGTGTAACATTAAATCTTTGCTACAGATGAGTGTATTTCATATAATGGTTTTCTGTTTCTTGCATTTAAGCTACCACAGTGACAACGAGCCACTACCATTTCCTCCAGCAAGAGCCCATTGGATTAGAGCTATTAGCAAAGTTCGACTGCGCCTTCAAGAGGTAGGATGGAGTGTTGCTTTGCTCCTTCTCTCTGCTACCTGAGTTTTAGATCTGTGGCTAAAGGTTTCATTTCTTCTTCCTTGTAAGACACCTCTCACAGTTTTGATGTTTTTCAGAGAAAAATTTAATGAAATGTATTGTATAGGACTGCAGCATGTTGTGATGGTCTTAGAGCTGTCTAATTCTACCAGATAATTTGAACATCATTGTGTGGAACTGGAGATGAATACCAGAAAAAAATGCAGTAGCAGAGAAATTAGCTCTGAATTTGTAAATAGTAATAATAATGTCTTGGACTAAATGGTTTGTGTTAAACTGTTAGAAATTAGGACTTTTTCTCAAGGCAACTTGAGGATAGCTTGTTAGCTTACTTGTAGTTATCTGTATTATTTGTCGTGTGAAAATGTTCCTTGGAAAACTTTACATCAAATATTTTTATATATACTAATTGAAAGTGGGTGTATAATAAGTCTTGGTATTTCCATCTCATGAAAGTACGATTTAAAAATAAAAAATCCTGATTTGGGAAGTCAAAAGGAAAAGGTTGTGACATTTTCTTCAGCAGTATAAACACTCTTGTTTTAGAAAACAGCGATTAAGACCTAAAAAGTTGTTGTTTTTCTTAAAAAAATCTTCAGCTTTCATCCATCTGTATGCCCACAGAAAGATAACATATGGTGTTCATATTCTATAGATGATAAACTATTGCCTACTATCCAAAATGCAGAGTTAATATATTTAATTTAGAACATCTACCTTCTTCTATAGCTGTGTCCTGTTTTGTTTTTTATGAGGAATTATTTTACAGTATCTAGCTATCAGTAGCTGGACTTTTCTCTTCTGGATTTGTTGCAAGGTGTTAGGAAACCAAATTTTATTCTTTTTTCCTTGCATCTGGACAAGTGTCTGAACTGCCACAGTAGAAATAGTTTATCTGGATTGTAAATTCTTTCCCATATAACAATTACTGTGTTACTTCACTTCTAAGCAGAAGGGATTTGGTTCAAAACTGTCATGTTGACATGGAAAGTGAAATTTAAGAACACCTTTAGTATCTAAGAACTTCTATTGCGGTTTTGTAGCAATGCAAGCAAAACAGTTTAGTTCTGTGCCTTAAGGAAAACAAAGCAAAGCATACTAGAAGGGACAAAAGATCCAATGATGTGTCTTCTTATGGACATCTCTTTTTTTTCCTGAGAAAGTACGAAGTCCATGAGGTGGTTCAGCATCAATCTTTGTGTTTCTGCTGAATTGAAGGAACATATGCTTTGAGATGACTGTTACAGAGACAGTAGTTTAGTTGTGATATCATAATATCATGATTTGCTTTGCCTTGACCACGCCTAACAACTGTTCATCTAAAATTACCTTAAAACAAAGAAATGGAGCTTTCCAGCAGCCTGCTCCAGGGCTTAGCTGTCTTTACTGTCCAAAGGCTTCCTAACCTCTGCTCTAGATCTTTCCTGTGCCATATAAACCTATTTCTCATGATTAGGACGAGTAGTAAAGGAGCAGAATGGATTCCTTTCCTCTGTAAAACAGCGAAGGGATGTTTCAAAGAGAGGATGAAGGCCCACTTGCTCTTCTCAAGTTCACAGAAAAAGGACACTTTTTCTTTTAAACAGCCTGTCTTCTTGCTGCCCAACCTCACCTTCCCTTTCTTTGTTTTTCCTGAAGTGCAGTGTCCAAAGTTGAATGTAGAAACTCAGCTGAGAGCTTGTTCTGCATTTCAGTACAATGAAAACTTTGTTCTCCAGGCTGTGATCCTGATATCCCAAGATATCAGGTATCCCACTGTGATGGTGCCCTTTTATTGCAGACTAACACTGATGCATAGTTAGCCTCTTATCCTTTCCTGGACTGAGCTTCCTTCTGCGAAGGGTGTTGTCAGTTTTTCCCTCGCCTGTATTTGGGTTGGATTACAGCTGAATATGGCTTTGCACCTTTTCTTATAGAATTGTGTGTTTTTTCACTCCTTAAGTACACTGCTGTCTGTCTCTTCCTAATCTGTTATGCCTACAAATCCTTCAAGTTGTGTGTGAAAAGTTGCACCGTACCAAAGCTGCCAGGCTGCATGCTACCAGAGCTGCCTGAGGGACCTTGCTTCATACATGCTTTGAATTTGGCTACTCTGAGTATGATTTTTTTCCCAGTGTGTTGTATCTGTTTTAGCAGGTTCACCTAGACCTCAGGATATAAAACTTTTACTGTTCTTCTCCTACACCTAAGAATAATTTACCTTGTCACAGAAGGAAGTTAAATGGATTTGACACAGTTCTTCTCTTGAAGAAGAGAACATGCTCGCTGTTATTTCTCTCCTTTTTATGTTCTTGAAGCTAATAATAATTTATTTGTTCCAGTCTTCAATTCCCAGGGGTGTGTGGGAAGAAGTCAAGTTAGTGCTTTCATAGTTGTCCAAGTCCTCTTATTCCTATTTTTTTAACTGTAAAAGCTTGTTTTGCCCTTTTCAAATCTTCAAGTGCATTGCCTGTTTTTCAAGTTTTTAGTGCTTTATGATTGTCAGTGTGCAGCCTAGTACCTGAGGATGAAGATTTATCAGGGCCAGCTGAGTTAGAAATAACTACCTTATCTGTTTGCTTTCAAATTTGGTTTTTTTTTGTTTTTTTTTTTTTTTTTGTTTTTTTTTTTTTTTTTTAGTGCATCCTGTTTTTCGTAATCTGTTTAACTTTTGTATTCCTTTTTTTTAAAAAAACCCCTGTATTAATTCTATCAGCTGCCTGAATGCAGTGAAGACCTGAAGCAATTAAAGCATCAAATGTTACAGCCTCTTTAATGCCACCTGATGATAGCTTTGTCTTCCTTTGAGTAGCAGCCATGGGTGTTTTTTGTCATACTGCGTGTTCATGGCTAGGTGGGTTTTTTTTGTGCGTTGGCCTTTCGATTTCTTCCCTGTGCAATCATGCTTGTCCTTAAAAACTTTCACAGGGGCTTCAAGCCCTCTGAAGAAGGGGACAGGCACTTTCTGTCCTCTTCAGTGGGTCAGCTTGTGATTTTTGTCTCTTAATGCTGTTTCATTAATGTAACAGCTTCCTGAACTCCCTGTTCCTTCAAGCCTGTTCCTCATGAGCTCTTCCTACTGATTTCTGAGGTTTTATTAGTTTGTGTTTTTCTAGCTTGTCTAATGCCTTTCATTCCAAGGTATCAGGAAGACTCTCAGTGTTTTCTCAGGTGCATCCCCATTTCTCTCTGTGCTTTCGCTCAAATCCAGAAGAGCATCTCTGCTAGTTGCTTTCTCACCTTACACATCATCATTTGGTTCCTAGGTCTTGTTTGAAAGTCAGTGATATGGATACAGACTATCTAGATAAGTATCAGGATAGTAAAGGTCTCTGTGATGGTAGTCTAAATGGCTAATTCTGTCGGCAGTTAGAAAAGTTCATGTCTCATTTCTGTGATCACCGTCTTCCCATCTTTTATCATTACCTAAAAGCTTTCAAGAGGACTATCGTTCTCATTTGTTCCAGTGCTTAGACCAGCTGCTTATGTCCTTATTCTTCAAAGCGCTGCCCTCAGCTCTTTTCCGTATTCCTCTTCCTCAATGTGCAATATAATTTCATTAATATGTGTGGAGCTCCAGCTCATGGATCCAAACTGCTTCACTCCTCTCATATAGGCTACTGAAATGGTCCTTATGGCTATTAATTGTTAATGATCTGTCTGAAATTTGAAAGAAAGAAAAAAAAATACACCCAAGAAATTTCCATATGTGATGGGATTATAAATCCCCTTGGCAATACAGCCTCCTACCTGAGAAGAGATTAATATTCACGTGAATAATATACATGCATCCTACAGCACCGTGAGTCAGAGAAATGTCGTATTTTAATTAAGACTTGACAGTTATAAAATGGCACAGAAATTTGTAACTGTGTGTGTTAAAAAAAAGCTTTGTGGTGGCATGCATGTCTTTTTCTTTCAGTTCTGCTGTTTTGTTTTTTTCTCATGTGTTTGTGAAGAAGAAACTTAATTATGCCAGAATCAAACCAGGGTTCTCAGCCCTGGGAGGAATGACTCAATAATTCTCACCTTCACACTTAGAACTTTGACTACAGAGAGGGATTAATTGATAGCTCATCTACTGCAGTCCCTCTGTGAGAGGTTCTTTTCCAGAAGAACAAACACATAGCTATTGCATCTGCAACTTGCAGTCTTCTTTAACCAAAATAGCCTTCAGCTGGGGACATGGCTCTGTGACTTTACAGTTACACACATTTGAATCTAAGTTTTGTGAAACAGAAGAACTGGCGGAGTGGAGAAGAGCAAAAATTAAGTCAAATCATCAAGTTGTCTCTCTTACCAATTCTTTTCAGTATATTTAAGTATTACAAGAGGGTGTGGGGTCTTGGATTCTATTCACTTATATTGAATTTGTTTACAGGAGAAATCATATGCATAATTTTCCTCTTTTATATCAGGAGTTAAATACATCAATTTACTTGTTTTCTTTTCCAAACCAAAGTCACTGGAGCAGTGTTTCCTGCTTGTTTTTGTTTCTTCTAGATGCCATTTTATAATAATTATTTTTAGTTTAATTTTTGTCTTTCCCTGTTAAATAACAGTCTGTTCTTTTTGACTGCTGTGTAATTAGATCATATACTGATGCAGCTCATGACATTATTTTTCTGGAATATGATAAGCACCTACAGTGGGAGGACTAAGTGACCATTCTCCTCTAGCCTTACAGGTACCCACTTGTATCCTTAGCGTTATTTTCCCATGCCCCATAGCTTCACAGTCATAATTTCTGATCAAGCATCTGCAAATACTTAAGAACCATCAGGGCCTCAATTTAAATATCTCTGGCTCAGGTAGGGTGTTGTACTGGTATTTTGGAGTTTGAAGCCCAGTTTTACTTATTTTGAGAAAGCAAGCTGTTGGTGCAAACGACAGCTATTTCCTTCTTACATAGCTGTGGGATGCCTTCAGGACTCCTCTCTGGCCTTCCACAGTTAGTGAGGAGACCAGCAAGGTACCAACTG